CCCAAACCCAAACCCATGCTCAAGCCCAAGCAGGAGCCCGTGGACGAGCCCACCGACCACCTCCAGCCCTACCCCGGGGGACTCACCGGAGGCGTAGCAAGCCCGGCCTCGCCGCGCCGCTTCACCAGGTCGCTCTTGCAACAGGTCAAGCAGCCGCCCATCGACGACGGCGACAACGACGAGTCAGGCACCACCACCGCCAGCAGCTCCCCATCGCCCTCCCCCAAGAGCAAGAGCACCAAGCGCGGCGCCAGCCTCAAGGCCAAGTCGGAGGGGCCAGATGGAATCCCCAAGAACCTCAGGGAGCTCTTCGCCACCGGCTTGCTCGAGGGCCAGCCTGTCAACTACTTCATGAACAAGGGGAAGGTAATGCTCCTTCTTGCTAGTTCAGTCAGTATGCATTTCAACCAGTTATCAAAGAATTCAGTCGATATGTGCATTTTGGTAATAGTGAAATGAAACCGAGCATTCGATTCGATTGTTACACACACGAACATAGTTCTGGACCTGGTTTATCTATCCATTCAAACATTGCAAGCTTAGGCGGAACTTCCCTTTTTTCTTAATCCTAATAATGCTAGTACTGCCTGGTTTCATTTCACTCGTGCTGTAAATTTTGATCAGGAATTTGTTTCTTCTCTCGTTTCAGCGACCAGTACTCCGTGGAGTCATCAAAGACACCGGCATATTGTGCTCTTGCACTTCATGTAAAGGCCGAAATGTAAGTACTCCCCTTCTGCCATAACACCAGTTTGCCATGCCATATGCCAATACCCAACCAATCTGCCATGGCTCGCAGGTCGTTTCACCTTTTTATTTCGAGGTGCATGCCGGGAGTCATAAAAAGCGACCCTCCGATTACATTTTCCTGGAAAGTGGAAATACTCTGCATGATGTATTGAGGGCGTGCACGGATGCTACCGTAGACACACTGGAATCTGCAATACTGGGAGCAATAGGCCCTGTGCCTAAGAAGAGGACAGTGACGTGCCAGGACTGCAAAAGTGAGTCCCCCCCTCCACCTCGCGCATCCATACCAAGCTTTGTTTCATTCGATGCTGTAAGTTTGGCCGATGTCTTACCTTTTAGGTTCGTTCAAAACTTCCCGCGCTGGAAAATTTGCTTCCTTCTGCGAGATATGTCTGGAGTCTAAGGAAGTTCAGAGTACGGCAAGGTAATGCCTGTGATACTATATAGTTAGCCATGTGATTATTCCAGTTTCTGTTCTTCTTCTTCTTCTCTTATAGACCGTTGTTTCTGCTGTTGGTATTTAGGCCGAGAGGACGGCCACCTAAGAATCTCTCCCCAGGGACGAAAACCACAAGTGCAGCAAGCCCAACTTCATCATATGGTAGGGCACCTAAAAACACCAAGTCCGACTTCATCTGGCAGGGTATCTAAGAATTTCTCTTCTCTCCAGGAGTGAAGACCACACGCACAGGAAGTCCAACTTCATACGGCAGGGTGCCTAGGAATTTCTACCCAGTAGCCAAGACAATAAGTGCAGCAGCAAGCCCAACTTCATCTGGCAGGGTGCCTAAGAATTTCTCCCCAGGATCGAAGCCTACAAGTGCAGGAAGAATTACAAGAAAGTAGGCTCTGCCGCTTATCAAACTACTTTAGCTTTGTTTCTCCTCGACTTCGTCATCTCATTTTTTGTTGCTCTGTCTGTATATGTTGTTGCATGCTGCAGGGACCATGGCTTGCACAAGTTGGTTTTCATGAGTGGTGTTTTGGCAGAGGGCACAGACGTCGGCTATTATGTCCAGGGAAAGGTTTACTTCCTGGCTTCTTTCTTGCTGTTTGTTTCTTTATGCAACTTCGTTCTTCAGCCACTCCGGATAAATATTGTATTGTTGTTATTAATACTGTTATTGACTAACATTCTAGAGGTTGCTGGATGGCCACATAACGGAACATGGAATCTATTGTTATTGCTGCAACACAGTGGTAAAATTACCGTCCCTTCCTTACATTAGTTTAGTTTAGATACATGAAACAACTCAGTCAAGGAGTCAGCCTGGACTTCTAATTAGTTCCTTTATTTATGTTAGCGCCATATGCTACTACTGAACCTGACCAGAAATATCCTTGTGCTGGATGAACAGGTTAGCCCTTCACAGTTTGAAGGCCACGCTGGCCGAGCTGCTCGGCGCAAACCGTGAGTCTATTATATTCTTCTTGTAACAATGTATTCTGCTGGGCCCTGTTGTTCATACTCTCAATTCCCTTTGCTAACACTACTGCATGCAGTTACCACAACATATACATTTCCAATGGCGTTTCACTACACGAGCTGTCGGTTTCTCTTTCAAAAGGCCGAAAACCTTCAGAAAAGCAGAACGATGACTTATGCACCATCTGTTCAGATGGCGGGGAGCTTCTTCTTTGTGACTCCTGTCCGAGAGCTTTTCACAGAGGTAACATCATTCATTATGCACCTATATATTATATGCCTAGCCAGTAGGGGGTGCATGTTTCCCAGTTAAGCCAGCTTCCATTCTTCTTGGGTATTCGGGCATGCGACCATCCGGATATTTGTTTTGATGGCAGAATCGTTGTCTTTACCATGTAGTTACCTAGCGATTTAGAGTGTCAAAAGGCCCCTCACCACTGGTTGTCTTGGATTATTGTTTATTGCAGAATGTGTTGGCTTGTCTTCTGTACCGAAGGGAGCTTGGTGTTGCCGGTATTGTGAAAATAGGCAACAGAGAGAAGGTTATTTGGCATACAACAACAATGCAATAGCCGCTGGGAGGGTCGATGGAGTTGATTCCATCGGACAAATATTTATGCGGTCGATCCGTATTGCCACAGCACCTCAGGGTGCATTTGGTGGATGCGCATTGTGCAAGTAAGTGTCCATCCATCACCCTTGTATGTTCAAGTTCTTGTTCATTATCTTTCCAATACAGCAATATGTAGAACCAATCGACCATATGAAACTATCCTCCACAAACAAAGGAATTAGGTAAAAATTGATATCAAATTTCCTTTATGGAGTATGGACTGCTGGAGTTATGGAGTCTTAATATCTGAATATCAACCTTTTGAGTTTCTTAATATCTATATAAGCCTCACTGCATCTGATCTAGGATTTAGGATACTCACTTGTTATTTAACTATGCTGTCCGTTTGGCTCTCCGATGCTGCTCCAACAAGCCTTTCCGTCTTTTGCTTTTGCAGGCAACATGATTTTGGCAAAAGGAAATTTAGCGAACGAACTGTGCTGCTCTGTGATCAAGTAAGTTGATCAATCACATCCATCTTCCCATGATATGCCTGTATTGAGTTGTCGTGCTGTTTTCATTTTTGTGTTGCTATTTGTTCAGTGTGGGAGGGAATATCACGTTGGATGCCTGAAAGAACACAACATGGCTGACTTGACGGTGATCTCCCTAGCCCAATATTATATTCTGAAAATTTTGCATCATAAGGAACGAAGAAGTATATTAATGGGTTGACTGCTGCTGCAGGCATTGCCCGAGGGAGCATGGTTTTGTTCCACTGTATGTGTGGAGATCTGCGAGGCACTGAAGGACCTAGTCAGTCGTGGAGCAGAACCTGTTCCTGCCGTGGATGCTGATCTCATAAAGAAGAAGCGTGCGGAGAAAGGTTTGAACGACGATGGCGACCTTGATGTTAGATGGAGGGTTTTGAGGGACAAAAGTTCAGAAGATAGTAAAGTGGTGCTGTCCAAGGCGGTTGGTATTTTCCATGTAAGTTGCCGTGGCTTCTTGAGTTGATTGTGTGCAACCAAACCAATGATACATATATCCTAGCCTAGTTATGGGTGGTGTGGGCTAATTTTTCTAATGCACTTTTGCAGGAATCATTTGATCCTATCATCCAAGCTGGGACTGGGCGAGACCTGATTCCAGCCATGGTCTATGGGTATGCCATTTACCCGTACGTACCATACTTGAGCGTAAACAAGACACCTAAGTCGTATGATGTTTCTCGTTTCAGGAGGAGCGTAAGGGATCAAGATTACACAGGGATGTACTGTGCGGTGTTAACTGTCGGGTAAACTCTTTTTTTCCTCTGGGTGTTGTATTTGGCAAAAAGGAAAATGGTAGTCTGAACCAACTGTTGGGTTCTGTTGATGCAGCAAGACGGTGGTTTCTGCTGGACTCTTCCGTGTGATGGGCAACGTAGCCGCGGAGCTCCCCTTGGTCGCGACGAGCAGGGATAACCAAGGCTTGGTAAGTTTATACTATCTATTGTTGGTGTAACTAGCAAGTGCCGCTACCTTTTTATACTACTAGTGTTTGCACCAAAAAAGAAGGAAACAAAAAAAACCGACTAGTGTGTGAGCATGCATGCAGGGGTACTTCCAGGCGCTGTTTGCGTGCATCGAGCGGGTGCTGTCGTCCCTGAAGGTGAAGCACTTTGTGCTGCCGGCGGCGGAGGAGGCGGTGTCGATCTGGACGCAGCGGTTCGGGTTTGGCAAGATAACCCAGGACAAGGTGTGTCATGTCTGTTGCCTTTTGCAATCAATCGTCCTCTGTCGTCATGTCACGCGTTGGTAGATAGAGGAAGGAGAGCTTGGTATTTGTAACGTGTGTGAAAACAAAATGTCTTGTTGTGTGGTTGCAGCTGCTGGAGCACCTCAAGGGCGGGCGGCCGACGGTGTTCCATGGCACGTCGACCCTGCACAAGCCTATCCCGGTGGCTGAGGCGGAGGCGGAGGCGGATGCGCGGGTGCCTGAGGAGGAAGAAGCGCCGGTGCCGGTGCCGGAGGAAGGAGAGCCGGTGCCCGAGGAGGAGGAAGGAGAGCCGGTGCCCGATGAGGAGGAAGGAGAGCCGGTGCCCGAGGAGGAGGAGGAGTGAGGAGGAGCTAGGAGGAGGAGTTGTTTCACTTTATTTTGGGAGGGGGGGAGGATGGATTTGTAATGGTGTAATGTAGAGACAGAGACAGGGATTTTCCTTCATTTTGGTTTGGTCTAGTCTCAGTAGTCTAGTAGGAGGAGGAGAGAAATATGATGATGGTGTGTTTTGTTTTGTTGAGGGGTGGTGGATATGATGTATGGATGGATCCTTCCTTTCCTTCCTTGTGTGGTATTGTTAGTTAGTTAGACAGAGGAGGAAGAGGAAGAAGAAGCACAAGAGACAGAGAGAGAGATAATCCTTGGTGGCTGGCTGGGTGTACTAGGAGTATTTGAGGAATGAAATTGACAGTCAGAAGCACATGTTGAATGATTTGTTTTGTGGGAGCAAATCTTGCTTGAATGTGTCTTGTTGTTAGCTCTTCCTTGTATGTTTGTTAGCCATACCATAGAATCCTTAGTGTTGGTGGTGTTGTTGGAATCCATACCATACCATACCATACCATACCATACCATACCATAGATGTGTGTGTGTGTGTGTGTGTTTATATCAATAAATCATATGTAAGAGCATTTCTACATCAACCAATCAAATTTTTAGAGCAACTCTAGCTGACTAGACTAGACTAGCTAGTTAGGCAGAGGAGAAGCAAGAAGAAGAAGAGGCACAAGAGAGAGAGAGAGAATTTGAGGAATGCAATTGTGATTCAGTCAGTCAGAGTTTAGTTTTGTGGGAGCAAATCTTGAAGAGTGTGTGATAATGAACCGAGAGCAAAAATTTAAATCCTACTTACTAATAACTACTCCCTCCGTCCCATAATATAAAAAAACGTCTTACATTATGGGACGGAGGGAGTAGATTAAATCACACAAGGAAACAAGAAAAGAGAAACCACTTTGACTCATATATACTGTACAACAACAATGTTGATTAAGCCGCTCCCTCCCTTGCGTAAAGAAAGAAAGAAAGAAAGAAATATATGAGCGTCGTTTAGATCACTTCACTAGGGGGCCGTTGTATTGTTGTACTCTTACCCTATTCCTTCCATCATCTTTGTTAGCCTAGCTCAGCTCACTCCTTATCTTTTTGACCCATGAGTCAAGGGAATGAAAGTGACTGACTGGTAATGTGTTTAAGAAACGATGTATCGTCTTCTTGCCGAGGGCGGGAGGCCGACGTGAGGAGGAGGAGGAGCCCCCTTGTGGATGGAGACGAACCTTGCCATGGAGGAGGCCGCACGCACAGATTGATGCGCAGATTAGGCCAATTTCATGATGCTCACTGCCGTGCGTGAGTAATTCCATCGTAGGCTTGTTGGACTGTGATGAGTTGGATGAGGTTTACCATGTAATCAAGTTAGTTTTGTTAGGGTTTGATCCCTAGTATCCACTATGTTCTGAGATTGATGTTGCTATGACTTTGCTATTCTTAATGCTTGTCACTAGGGCCCGAGTGCCATGATTTTAAATATGAACTTATTATGTTTTCATGAATATATGTGAGTTCTTGATTCTATCTTGCAAGTCTATAGTCACCTATTATGTGTTATGATCCGTTAACCCCGAAGTGACAATAATACTTACCGGCGATGACCGTAGCTTGAGGAGTTCATTTATTCACTAAGTGTTAATGCTTTGGTCCGGTACTCTATTAAAAGGAGGCCTTAATATTCCTTAGTTTCCAATAGGACCCCGCTGCCACGGGAGGGTAGGACAAAAGATGTCATGCAAGTTCTTTTCCATAAGCATGTATGGCTATATTCGGAATACATGCCTACATTACATTGATGAACTGGAGCTAGTTCTGTGTCACCCTATGTTATAACTGTTACATGATGAACCACATCCGACATAATTATCCATCACTGATCCAATGCCTACGAGCTTTTCACATATTGTTCTTTGCTTAGTTACTTTACCGCTGCCACTGTTACAATTACTACAAAACTGCTACTTTTACTTTTGCCACTGTTATCGTTACTTCCATACTACTTTGCTACTAAATACTTTGCTGCAGATACTAAGTTATCCAGGTGTGATTGAATTGACAACTCAGCTGCTAATACTTGAGAATATTCTTTGGCTCCCCTTGTGTCGAATCAATAAAGTTGGGTTGAATACTCTATCCTCGAAAACTGTTGCGACCCCCTATACTTGTGGGTTATCAAGACTATTTTCTGGCGCCGTTGCCGGGGAGCATAACTCTATTATTTAAATCACTTGGGATTTATATCTGCTGATCACTATGAGGAACTTGAAAGACGAAAGAACTAAGATTTTTCCGTCAACTACGAGGGGAGGTAAGGAACTGTCATCTAGCTCTACACTTGATTCTCCTTCTGTTTTGAGTAAGCTTGCGACACCTAAACCTACTTCTGCTATTAATTATGACATGTCGCATGTTATTGATAATGCCACTTCTGCTATGCATGATACTTATGATGAAACTACTTCTATGTTTGATACTACTGTGCCGTTAGGTGAATTTCTTGATGAACAACTTGCTAGGGCTAGAGAGAATGAAATTATTGAAACTGATAATATTGATGAAAGTGATGATGAAGATTCTCCCCCTAAATATGAATTGCCTGTTGTGCCTAAGGGTTATGTTATGGATGAAGAAACTGCCAGAGATTTTCTTGCTTGCAATGATAGATCTGATCTTAAGAAGTTACTAGCTAAGCTTAAAGAAAAATCTCTGAATGCTAGAATGAAATATGACCCTGCTTTTGCTACTTCACCTATCTGTGTTACTGATAAGGATTATGATTCTCTATCGATCCTGAGATAATTACTTTGGTTGAATCTGATCCTTTTTATGGTTATGAATCTGAAACTGTTGTGGCACATCTTACTAAATTGAATGATATAGCCACCCTATTCACTAATGATGAGAAAATTCGTTACTACTATATCCTTAAGCTATTTCCGTTCTCATTAAAGGGTGATGCTAAAACATGGTTTAATTCTCTTGATCCTGGTTATGTGCGTAGTCCCCAGGATATGATTTATTACTCCTCTGCTAAATATTTCCCCGCTCATAAGAAACAAGCTGCTTTAAGGGAAATATATAATTTTGTGCAAATTGAAGAAGAGAGTCTCCCACAAGCTTGGGGGAGGCTTCTTAGATTACTTAATGCTTTGCCAGATCATCCTCTTAAGAAAAATGAAATACTTGTTATCTTTTATAATGGACTAACCGATGCTTCCGAAGACCACATGGATAGTTGTGCTGGTTGTGTTTTCAGGAAAGAACAGTTGATCAAGCTGAATTGCTATTGAATAATATGTTGACTAATGAAAACAATTGGACACTTCCTGAGCCAACTCCAAAGAAAAGAGGTGTTCTATTTCTCAGTCCTGAAGATATGCAAGAGGCAAAGAAATCTATGAAAGAAAAAGGTATTAAAGCTGAAGATGTATACCTTAATATACCACATATTGAAGAAATACATGGTCTTGATAACCCGACACAAGTAGTGAAGGTAAATTCTCTTTATAGATATGATAAAGTTGAAATCCCGTCTACTAAGTTTGCTAGCCAATGCTTGGATGAGTTTGATGACTTTATGGCTAAACAAGAAAACTTCAATGCTTATGTTGGTAGAAAATTGAAAAGTAATGCTTATATGATTGGACACTTGAGTGATTATATGTCTAGAGTTAAGGGTGAACTTAAATTCATTAGTACATGCTTCTATGGTTACCACTCAAGTAGAACAAGTGCTTAAAGCTCAAAATGATTTGCTCAATGAATTAAATGATAAGAGAAATGATAATGCTGTTAGAGTTATGACTAGAGGTGGTAGAATGACTCAGGAACCTTTGTATCCCGAGGGCCACCCTAAGAGAATTGAGCAAGATTCTCAGAGAACTAATGTTGATGCACCTAGTCCTTCTAAAAAGAAGAAGAAGAAAAATGATAGGACTTTGCATGCTTCTAGTGAACCTGTTGTAGACACACCTGAGAATCCTAATGATATTTCTATCTTTGATGTTGAAACACAATCTGGTGATGAACATGAACCTAGTGATAATGCTAATAATGATGTTTATGTTGATGCTCAACCTAGCAATAATAATGATGTAGAGGTTGAACCTGCTGTTGATCTTGATAACCCACAATCAAAGAATCAACGTTATGATAAGAGAGACTTCAATGCTAGGAAGCACGATAAAGAAAGAGAACCATGGGTTCAGAAACCCATGCCTTTTCCTCCTAAACCATCCAAGAAAAAGGACGATGAGGATTTTGAGCGCTTTGCTGAAATGATTAGACCTATATTTTTGCGTATGCGTTTGACTGATATGCTTAAGATGAACCCTTATGCTAAGTACATGAAAGATATTGTTACTAATAAAATAAAGATACCGGAAGCCAAAATTTCCACCATGCTTGCTAATTATACCTTTAAGGGTGGAATACCAAAGAAACTAGGAGATCCAGGAGTACCAACTATACCATGCTCCATTAAAAGAAACTATGTTAAAACGGCTTTATGTGATCTTGGAGCCGGTGTTAGTGTTATGCCTCTCTCTTTGTATCGTAGACTTGAATTGAATAAGTTGACACCTACTGAAATATCTTTGCAAATGGCTGATAAATCAACCGCTATACCTATCGGTATTTGTGAGGATGTGCCTGTTGTGGTTGCAAACGTTACTATCTTAATAGACTTTGTTATTCTTGATATTCCCGAGGACGATAGTATGTCGATTATCCTTGGTAGACCCTTTTTGAATACTGCACGGGCTGTTATTGACTGCCACAAAGGCAATGTCACTTTTCATGTTAATGGTAATGAGCATACGATACACTTTCCGAGGAAACAACCTCAAGTTCACAGTATCAATTCTGTTGGAAAAATTCCATCGATTATTATTGGAGGTTTTGAATTTCCTCTTCCTACTATCAAGAAGAAATATGATATTCTTATTATTGGGGATGTACATATCCCCGTTGAGGTAACCTAGTGTTATTCGAAATTTCTCTGGTTCCATGTT